TTCCAGCCTCCCCTCTCATCACCTGGCATGTGCCATCTTAGTGTTCCCATTCATCCTAGGTCTCCCACCTCTCCCAGCTGTTACCCTTCCCATCTCCCATAAGCATCCAGGGGCCCTGCTCCGCCTTCCTACTTTTCTCTTCCTCTTTCGTTTGGCATTTATCCTCTACTCTCCCTCTTTCTTTTTTTTTTGTCTTTCCTTGTTCTTTCCTTGCTCTGCTCTTTCTGATTCCTCCTTCATTCTAGTTTGCCCTCTCTTCTCCCCTTCCCCTTCAAGCCTCCCCTCCAGCACACTCGCATCGATCGCTTTGATTGAGGACATTGACTCAGGTTTTGTCCGGTCTTTTTTGTTGCTTTTAAGATGGCACACTAGCCCTCCCGTTCAATCAACTGCCATCTGCAAAAAATGTCAAAAATGGCTGTTATGCCATCTTATCCAGCGTGAGTCAAATGCCATCTATGTGTGATCCACTATATATACTTTTTAATGTATGTATGTATGTATGTATGTATGTATGTATGTATGTATGTATGTATGTATGTATGTATGTATGTATGTATGTATTATATATATTTGTAGCATATGCAGATGTATGTTTACATATATATAAATGGTATGTAAAATGCGGTCTATATAAATATATACATATGTATGTTTTTAGGTCTTTGAGTATGCAAATATGTTCTGTGTCATGGCAAGCGGCAGGCACATTCTCTTGCTTGGCACCGCTTTACAAGTTATGCTGCGGCTGTGACTATTGGAGAAGCTTTTTGCGGCGGAGCCAATCACAGGGACTTGGATTTTGATTATCAACGAGGCTATATGACGTGTCCTGAAGCAGATGAGCAGATTAAAGCTGATTTGGAGGAGCAGGTTGGGGTTGCTGGGAGGGAGGCTTTGATCTATGGATTGATTTTTGTCATGGCTGCTATGTTTTTGTACTTTTGAGCTTTGCAAGTGGCGCTATTCGGTGAGCGCATTGGAGGAAAGTCTTGTTGAAGCTCACGTGCCTGAAGCTCCAGATCACGACGAAAAACCGGCAGAGAAGGCATTGTTGCTTTAGTGGTGTGCCATTCAATTAAAGCTTTGCTTTGCTTTGAGATATGAATGAACATGTAAGCAAGCGTGTTCTTTTGCCAGGATTTGGTGGCAATTCATGTGAATGAGGATGATTTGCCGGCTGTGGCAGTTTGTGATCGATTCTTGTTGGAGACTATTGTCAATGGAAAGAGATGCAGTTGAAAAGTTTGCCGGATAACGATATCATCTTTGTTGTTAGCAAGGGCGTTCAGACCGATATAACAGAGCTTGGGGCTTTGTCCTGCACTTCTACTTGCGCTGGGGGTCACTCTCAGTGATGGATGGTTGATTGTATCGATGTCAACATTTTGGTTGCAGTCACGCGGCATGTGACATGATGAAAAGCGGAATCCATACTGTGTGACCCTTTTTGGCGCCTGGCTGCCCTGACTCTGAAGAGTCGTTGTTGCAGATGGCCTGCTGCGGGTTCATGAGGGTTGCGTGATGGTAGCCAAAAAGAAGATGTTTTTACTGACTTGCGAAAGCCAGCATGTTTGAATGCTTTTTTGCCGTTGCGGTGCTTGTCAAACACTGTTCGCAGCAGAGCAATGCCATTGCGTAACCATGTGTTCAGGATCGAGGAAGTTTTTTTTTTTATTTTTCTTTGTATTTTACATATCTTTTCGGGATGCTGAAGTGAGCAGACATTAGCATTGTTTGCAAGAGTCGTGCGGTTTTTGTGTTTGCTTCAAGAATTCGATTTGTGGATCAAGGATTTCTTTTTGCCAGATTGGGTGTAAACAACACTTTCGATCTTTTAAGGGGGGGCAGGGCAGCGCAAAAAAACATTTTCAACTGCACTGACAACATTCAAACAACATACCAGGGGAATGATCACAAGGGTTCACCGTAATGTTCTTGCGTCGCAACACGATTCCACAGGAAACGGGCGTTGTGACGAGTAAAAAATCCGTAGAAGTGCGGCTTCAAGTATGGCTATGCTGTGCCGCGAATTGATTTTGCGTTTTGATTTGCAAATGTTATTCCTTGTCGCAGCCTTTGTTTTATGTTCGGAGTGGGTGCATGTAGACACGATCATTGCGTTGGACGTGATAGGCACGACGGCTGAACGATGTATTGCGGAAAATGCAGCGACGCAAAAGCTTGTCAGTCAAAGTACGTGAAGGTTGGCCTTGCAAGTCTCGTTGAGCACTTGAAAGTTTGGTTACTGCGCCAGAATTCCCATGAATTTCATTTTGCTTAATGTGCCGAGCTCGCCAAATTGCAGAATTGCAGACAGCTCTCACAAGTAATGTGCAAATAGAAGAGGCTAAAAATCAAGAAGGTTGCAACGTCTTGCTCTCCAACATCAGTGCTGCAACCTGCCGCAAGCGACCGCCTTTGCACGCTGGAGCAAGTGACCGCTCGTGACTCCAGCAAGCAACCGCCACTGCCCGCTGGAGCAAGTGACCGGACGTGACCCCACCGCAAATGCGCTGCAAGTGAATCCAGCAAGTAACCGCCACTGCCCGCTGGAGCAAGTGACCGCACGTGACCCCACCGCAAGTGCGCCGCAAGTGACTCCAGCAAGTAACCGCCACTGCCCGCAAGTGACCGCACGTCACCCCACCGCAAGTGCGCCGCAAGTGACTCCAACAAGTAACCGCCACTGCCCGCTGGAGCAAATGACCGGACGTGACCCCACCGCACGTAGGCCGCAAGTGACTCCAACAAGTAACCTCCACTGCCCGCTGGAGCAAGTGACCGCACGTGACCCCACCGCAAGTGCGAGTGGCCGCAAGTGACTGCAGCAAGTAACCGCCACTGTTGGAGCAAGTGACCGCAAGTGACGGCAGCGAGTGCAAGTGACCGTACCGCCAGTTACCACAGTAAGTGACCCCTTAAGAGACTGCTTGAGCACGTGACCGAAGTGACCGCCACCGCGTGCTGGAGCAGGTGACAGCAAGTGACCACCACTGTCCGCTGGTGCAAGTGACTGCACGTGACCGCACCGCAAGTCGCCGCACTGCATGCGGTCACATTGGATGCTAGTATTTCATGCGCATGAGATCGTTTCATGCGCATGACATCATGTCATGCGCACGACATCATTTCATGTGTGCTTCATGGTTTCATGTTCATGACATCATTTCACGGGCAGAGTATTATTTCGGCTGCTGTTAGTATTATTTCGGCTGCTGTTGGTAAAAGACTACAGTATTCCCATGAGAAGTATTACTTCATGCGCATGACATCATGTCATGCGCACGACATCATTCCGCGTGCACCGTATCATTTCATGTGCATGACATCATATGCGCATGATAGTATTTTGTCTAATTTCATGTGCTTTTGTGAGTGGGTTGGTTGCTGTGACTCTGGTAAGCCTTGTTGCTGGTCATCGGTTGGCAGCTGGTGTTGTTGCTGGGGTGATTTTGCTTGAGCTTTTTGTGCTAATCGAAAATGTCAGGCTGCGCGACTCGTAGACTTGTTCCCCAGATAGCGACAGCTATGGGGTTCTTACTTCAAATAAGAATGGCCTATGGCAAACACAGGTCAATGCAGTACATGGCTAAGCCAAAGAAGGCAATTGCGTAGGAAGGAAAAAAACCAAGCGCAGTGTCCGTGCTCTGAGGAAATCTTCATTTTGATTGGGTCTGCGCATTCGTGTTTACAAGGGGGGCAACATATGTCACAACCTGGATCCATAAATTTCATGTTTTAGCCCTTGTACGGCGTCCCATTGCAAAGTCAATGAAAAACAGAATTTTAATGCTTTCCCTTTGAATCTTGTATGTGCGTCTACATGGTGGACTACAGTTTTCTTCCTCTAGGAAATACTGCTGGCCATATTGTTCGGAGATCTCATTTTTGAACATTGCTCTGTTTGGGGTCTACGCTGGTATAATATTTGCCAGGTGCAGAAAGAGCTGGAAGCCTTGTCCAAGCGGCTGACTGAGACGGAACAGGCCAGACCTCCAGCTGAATGCGCGCGGATTTGAAGGGGCTGCACTTCTTTGAATGGCCCGATGGCCTTGGCATGGCGTAGCGTGAAATTCTTAGCACATGCCATGGTGTCAACAAAGCGAGGTGCTGTGTCTGCAATGTTGGTCTCTGAAAGTCGTGCAACAAACGAGGATTCTGTTCCAGTGATTCGGTTCCAACGAGGCATGACAAAAAAGTTGGGAGAGCCTCAATCCCAAAAGCAATTTGGTGAAGTTCTGCATCATTCGTTTCCAGACGGCGCATGTCAGCACACAAAGCCTTTCACAGATCAGCGGCCAAACCACATCAGGTCTCGGCCAATTGGAGCCCACCAAGCGGGGATCGAAACCGATTCTTGTTGACGCACTCAAAGGGATTCTGAAGCTTGGGTGGATTGGTGTCTCCCTTGCCGGACTTAGGACTTAGGAGAGTTGTTGTTTTCCGGACGAAGTTCTACGGATGTTCTTTTTCTTTTGGCAGAGACTTGGAGCTACAACCTTTGTGCCAAATCCATTCGATCACTCGAATGCTTCGAGACTGGGTTGCCTCAAGTTGCCTCGCCTGGACCCATGCGGGACAAGATGCTGTGCCCGTCGCCCCTGTCGGGCCTTGACGTCCAGGCTTCAGAGCAGCTCAGCATCACCTTAGATACCTTCTGGGAGGAGGCCGATGTCCTCGGTGGTGTTGTGTGATGCTGCCGGCGGCCAAGCGTTTTCACCTTTCTGCTGGGGGTTTTCTGCCGACTGCGATCCTTAACTGAGGCGAGAATCAACACCTGGACAACTTGACTGGTTCGAGTTCTAGCTGTATCTTCCAAATCCAGGGCACCAATGGGCACCATATCCTCAAAGACATGGATTGGATCGTTCAACACTGAACATGTCCCCATAGTGATTCTTCCCCAAATGGATGGAGACGTCCAAGTGAACCAGATCTGAAAGAGTTTCTTCAAATCATCGCTGCTCTGTACCTTCAGTCAAGACATGGGGCCATATATTTTCCTTTCATATCTGGACCTTCAAGGGGTGTCCTGGCTGGAGATCCTAAGGGCTTCCAGCCAGGTGACCCCGTAATGGAGGTGCCTGTATAGAGAAGACGGTCATTCTGATGAGTCAACCTTGGAGCTCCATGGACCACGGAACGGTTAGCTACCTACTGAGACCAGGTCGTTGGCTGAGCACGTCGGCTGGGCACGTCATGTGGGTCCTGGAATTCCTGGAGTTCCTGCAGCCCCCCGAAACTCCACCCATGTTTTCGCACCCGTTTTCTTCGCCTCCAGAAGGAGACGTGCAAGTCAGATTGCAAATCAGTCAGAGAATGGACCCTTCTGTCCTCACCAAAACTGGAGAAAAGCGCGCCCTCCTTGTTGAGAACAATTCCTGCCGCTCTGACCCGCATTCCAAGCAGGTGGCTGCCATCAGCGACTTGTCGCAGGAGATGCAAAGCGGGGATCCTCAGGATGAAACAGAACTCAGAACTCAACCATCTCATCCAATCCCCCTACAAGTCAATGACCTCATACAAAAGCACTATTCAAGGTAGAGGACCAGGTTTTACGGATGCTTTGGACGACCCCATCATCCCAACGCCTCGCGCGACCGTGGCGATGTCGGGCGATCCTACCTCACCCACTCCAACCGGTGCCCGACGTGCCCCGTCCATCGGTGTTTGGACCGGTGGGACAGCTCTCCGGACTGTTGCTGATGGTGAATGCACAGGAGCCACTATAGTATAGCTTTAAAAGTTCCTAAGAATGCTCCAGTAGCGAGGCCAGGAGCCCCGTGCCAGGAGCGTCCGAACGCTCCGGACGCGAACCTCTCCAGTTTCTTCAGGTTTGGGCCTCCGCATCGGTGACCTCCCCGATGCATCGAGCCTGAAGAGCCTCTTCGGCGAATGGGTGCGGAGACGCGCCATCGTGGCGTGCGTGCGCCGCGGTGCGAATGCGGAAGAAGGGGCCCGCGGCCCGGGGTTGAAGGAGCTGCTTTTTTCAGCAGGTCATGTGGGAAGTTGAGCTACAGTGCCAGGTGAAGAGCTGGGTGTTCCATGGCTTTGAGAAAAGACTAGAGGAGCTCTGGCCCAATGGCCGGGTCTCTTTGGGCTTCACTGGAAGTCTTGGAAGTTGATTTACCTACCCCTCCATTCTGCAGAGCCCAAGTGTTTCACTTCCTCAGAAGTGCAACGCAGGGTTTCCTTCGTCGCGATCCACGCGCGCCGCGCGCATCGCCCACTCCTTGCGGTGACGCGTCTCTCCGCGCCAGGCGTGGAATCTGAACTGCCCGGTGCAGCTGCTCTTCGGATCTCCGCTGCAATGCCACTCGGCAGAGTGGGAGAAACACGCCGTCGCGAGTATCGTCGCGTCAGGTTTCTGGGGCGGATGGCATCCACAAGGGAGCATGTGGCCAGGATGAACGTGCAGTCATTTTTAGCGGCGGCGCAGCTGGGAACTGCGTATGTCACACGCTGTGCAGGTCGAGGTTTTTTGTTCCCATGGACCCATGGTTCGTTTTCCTCATGCAAACTGCAAGAAATCTGGAAGAGAGTTTCAAGAGCGCAGCATCGTTGGAGCGGTGGGTTGCAAGGTGTTAGATCAACTGAAGCCTCTGTGGTCGGCAAACCGGCAGATTCTTTGTCCATTGTCCCCATCCTGGTGCAGAAGTACTTGACAAGCCCCAAACTTGGGGATTTGTTGGATTTGGTGGAGTGACACTCGCTTGCAACACACTCCACCTCAGTACGTGATCGGTCTCTTCGCTGTGGTTTGCACCCAGGTGCGGGTCAGTTCTTAGTGGATGTGCTGAAGGCCAGAGGGGGGGCGGATCAGGGCGGATCGCCGGAGGCGAGTGGAGTCCGAAGAGCGCGGAGCGGGTTTCTCAGACGACAGGTGTGGAGAGTTTAGATGACAGGCGGACGGTTCAGCATGTGCACATGTTTACGATGTTTACAGCTTGATTCTGTCTAGCAGACATGTGCACTTGTTCTCTTTGGCCCATCTCCGTCAGATGTTGAATGATGTTGATATCATTACAGTAAACACTTTACAACGACGGTGCCTTTCACATACCTGGAATAGTTACCAGCTCACCAAGTTCCTCCGCTGTGCTGAAACCCACGCTCAGCGGGACACCGGGAAAAAGCCGCCAGCTGTTCCCATTGATGTTGCGGGGTCAAAAGCGACGGCTATTGTAGCAGCTCTAGCAGCTGGCAGACCTTGCCTGGACTGAAGAAGCGAACTTTAAACAGTTTAACACCCAATTGTTTGTAATTCATGCACGCTTCTGCAAGCCTTGTGCTTCAGATTTTTTTGGGTAGATGCGTTTGCCTAGGTGTTGCAACAATTAACTAATGGGTCAAAACCTGGACTTGCATGCAGTTCATTTTGATGGGTGAACCGGTCAGTCCCCAGGTTTTGGACGGCCGTTCGTACCCTCCGACGAACGCATGGAAATAGAGCAAACTTTTCTTACTTGAGTCCATCGTCCACTTCCATGGAACATGAGTCGGAGTGAATGGTACAAAAAGACCTGAATTATTGATAATTGGCATACAATAGAATTAGATCCAATGGGTCTACACAACAATCTCTTAGTTCAATCAACCCCTTGGCCTTGTCCTCATCTCTCCTTCACCTCGTTTGGAGGATTTAGGCGCTCAGTACCAGCGAGAACTCTTCGTGGTGTCCGTCATCGGCATCCAAAGCTCAGCCACAAAGCCCAGCTTTTTTCTTCGATGTCTTTTTACCACCTCGGCCGTGGTTTCTTCCTCAACTCATCCAGAAACAGATCCGCCAGAACCGAAGGGAACACGTTGGAACCTAAAAGATCCTGGACTTCACCGGCAGCGGGGTGCTTTTCACGTGGTGTCCCTTTTTTCTTAATCCAACAGCTGGTTTGGTGCTAAGAAGCCACCCTGCAAGGCCTTCACAGTCCTACAGGTCATAGATGGTCAATCCAGGTTCGCGGCACTTTCTGCTCGTCTTTCCGAAATTTGGGCAGTCGGGTATGCTGAAAGAACGGTGGGGACTTTTGGTCATGCTGGGCTGGGCAGGCAGCAACACGTCCTCAATCGAGGAGTTCAAGACAAGACATCCAGCCGTCAGACGGTTGGGTCTTCCATTCTTGGATGACGGAAGGTCTGACCAGCAGGTAGTCATTCAACGTTGCTCCTTTTGATCAGTCTTTTGTCACCCGAGCCGTCTGAAAGGATCCCAAACGCATTGAGGGCTCCAAAGGTGAATGTTGACCGACTAGAGCCACCTCCGCAGCGGGCTCAAGCCGTGGAAGAGGCTCACCACCCGCTCCGGAGCGCTGCCCGCTGACCGCCAAGCCCGCTGACCGCTGCGTGTTCGGGATCGGCGATGCAGTGGATCTCTTCGAAGCCTCTAAAGCTCATGGGTGGCAGCTTGCTGTTGAAACTGGTGGTGCCCATCATCGCCCACCTCGCAGGCGGCAGACAGTGACACGGAACGGTTCCTTTTTTTTGTGGCCGAACACACGCACACAGAGACAGTGACATGTTGGACACACACATGATATGAGGTTGTTTTCTTGGTTTCTCCTGTCTGCAGATGAGCGGAAATCGGGCTGTCCAAGGAGCAGAAGCCCAGGTCCATCCGCTCCGAGGCTTTCACACCGTGGGTGTCAAACCGGTCATGTAGAGTGCGGAACGACTGGCGACGAAGCACCATCACGAAGCGACCAGCTGGGTTTCACCAGCAGTCCCATGTCGTGGTTTCCCTATATCATGCAGGATAGGGGCACTCACCACTCACCACTCACATACTTCAGGCCAGTTTAGGGTCTAAAAACTTTTCCGACATGGGAACTCCCAGACAGTACTTTGATTGCGCTTCACTGGAACACCTATTTCAGGAAAAGACTCGGCTGGTCTGGTTGTCTAGATTATCACGAGGGCCTGGTTAGATGTATCTACTAGTCATAAACAGTAGTTTCAGAGTAGATGGCACAACCCCCAAGAGGTTCCATATTAACCACCTTTGGGCATTGTGCCGTCTACTCTGAAACCACTGTAACCTTTTTTCCACCGTGGTCTTGCGACGACACGTGGCAGGGAATGTGGACCCCAATGAGAACGCCATCTCCCACGCCTTTGGGCAGTCGTCGCTGTGCGTGGCGATGGACTTTCCTGGCTGGTACGAAGCGGCGCTGGTGGTTTTCCTCGTCGCAGGCCTTCGCACATCTGTAGGAGAACGTCTCATTTGTTTCGAGGTCCGTCATCTGTCTCGACGTCTTCGAGAATTCCGTCGGATCGTCTCTTTTGGTCTCAGCCGAAGATTCGTTCCAGAGATCGGATTTTGGCAAACTTCATTCGAAGTGGCCAACCGTGTGGGGGATTGGTCATAGTACCCAATCGCCAGAAATTCAATCTAGTAATATAGAGGTCCCCAAATAGATAGAAACAATTTCCAATACATAGTTAAGGATTTTATGTTTCAGGGGGTCGCTGTAACCTTTCTCAAACCTGGGGGTCTAGTTACCTGGTGTTTGGTTCTCTTTCGTCTTCTTTTTGCGTTCTCAGCACCAAGACGACCCGATTTTGGTCCGCCGAGCCGGCTCCGTCTCCGAGAGGTCCACCGGTTGCGACGGTGCCCGGTCCACCGGTTGCGACTCCATAGCGCCATAGGCCTCATGGATGAGTACGCGCTCTTTGCCGTTTGGTGGCACTTCAAAGAGGAGTGGAAGGCTTCACGTGGAAAAGTGCTGGGCCTGCACGTTCTCATGGTATTTTTGGCCCTTTGCTTCTGAGCTGCGTTTGCTGGGGTGCCTGTAAGCAGCACAATATAGCACAATAGAGAGTTTTATATGACACCATATACAGAACACGACGCTATGCAATATAGCAGAATGTAATATAATACGTACACCACACTTACATTCCTATTTGTGAGAATGGTGCATGAAGAATCTAATCTTGCGCATGAAGGAGCGGCCATATCCATTTCCTTAATCATTTGGACTGCCACCACCTCCCGTCTGCCAGAATCTGAGTGATGGTGGAAGATCTGGGCCTTCTGAAAGGCACTGAATGGTGGGAAGCCAATGATGGAAGGGGGGTCATATGCATGCATCGAAGTGGGTGTGGTGCCCACTAAGCTTTCTGCAGGCTCCCTACCTTTCTAGGATTTCCAAGGTACTTACTCCCGACTCAGCAAACCAAGTGAGCTGGATGTGTAGGCACCTAATCTTCATCGCCGACACCAAACACCAAAGATGAAAGGTACCAAAGGTGCCTTGAGTGAGCTGGACCTGGTGCGCAGGCTCTCCAATATGCCAAGGCTTTGGATGTTTCTTCATGGTCTCCTTCTGGAACCCGGCGGCATCCCACGATTCAAACACTGTGGTAGCACATACCATTCCCTACCTGGGCCTGCAGTTGGGCTACTTTACCTTAGCGCTCTTCGTATGCTTGGCGCTCCCCATCGAAGCTTCGACATGCCAGAAGGCGCCACACTTGCCACTCGAGGTTTGCCGAAAGTTTCATATGGGACATTAGGTTGGAGGCCATCGCTCTGAGGTTGAAGGCCATCGCTCTTAGGTTAGGTGTAGGTCAAAATATGGGACATGAGCAGGTGTACCGTGTGCACCGCTCGGCAAACATAGCATTCCATGAACGACCTCAAAATGCCAGAAGGGTAGGCGATAGGCCACTCAATTTCTTGGGAACAACTGCCGCACAGTCTATAGCCAATTGAAACCATTTGATTCACATGATGCAGATCTTCAGGAAAAGAGTCAAAGCAGTCTTGGCCCGCAATCCCAAAGCTTCCACAGAGAATCCGACTTAACCACAATATATAAGGAACCTGGATTTCCCAGGGGGTTGTAGCGGTTTCACCCAACTCGGTTTCTTCACCAAGTCTCGTGGCACACCACGCAGGTCTCGCTCTACGTGAGCTTGTTTTTGTATTTGCTGCTGCAGGCGAGGCACGGGTGAGTCAGCTTAATAATGATCTATCACTTTAGACGGGGAATAATTCACTCAATTACTTTGGTGTGAAACGACACGCTGATGCTGTACTTCCGACAAACTGTTGGTCGTAAACACCCAAGTTGGCTAGGCTATGCCCAAACATTTTTGAACGGAACAAGTCCGAAAGCACAGCTGTTGATGGTCCTTTCAACATACCCAAGAACAAGAACATGATGATTGACCGTGGCTCTCCTTGCACCGTCCAACGGTTCCGGTCCGGGCGACGTGGCTCAGGTGGCCAACCTCGTGGTGATACTCTGGACCTTCGCGGAGCTCTCGGAGCAGGTCCCGGTGCGCGACGAAGCTGGTTCATCCTGTGAAGCCTTTGGTCATCCTCTAAAAAGACACGAAGCTCTCGTTTTTCCTTTTTGGTACCGGCAGGATGGACAAATACTGAACGAGACCCATTTTGGACCTTTTCCACAGTCCCAAAAAGTTGGTGCTGGAAGGCTGGAAAAAAGACTTGGAGCCTTCTGAAGAGGTGACCAAGTGACCAAGTCTTGCAATGCGCTGCATTCAAAAAGGATCTTCAGGGTTTGCTTTCTTGCCTTTTTGTGGAAGACTCTTGGCCTCCAAGCCCTCCACACCGCACATCCGGTGGCTTTGGCCGGACAATGGGATTCTCGGTGGATGGCACATCTTTCGGGATATCGGCATGGCCTTCAACTATACTAAAAGACATGTTGATAGCACCACATTATACGTATATGCTTCTAGACGATGTTCCTTATTTCCTTGTGCTAGGCTCTTCACACTTCTTGCTATCCTTGGATGCAAACATTACAATTACAACTAACTTAACCCTTCCTTTTCTTCGCACCTGGCAAGTCCGTGACGGTCCGTCGTGGCAGGGGCAGGTCAATGGCAGCTACAAAGGCCCAAAGGCTCGGGTGTCCTTCCTGCGCAGCTTCGAACCCCTTACGATTTTGGGAGTCTTTGTGGTGCTTGTCCTGCGCCTTGGATGAAATAAACCGAACTCACTCGCATGGAAGTCGCAAATCCACCTGTTTGAAGAGGAAACCAGTCTTACCAGAGTCGATTTTCCTTTCCATGTGAGTGAGTCTGGCCTTTGTTCTTCTTTTATGTGAACAGTCTTTTAGAACCATCCACAGGTTCTCCCCTGAGGTCCCCCGTGCAATATCAGATCGTTTCAACCCACAAAAAGAGCCTCAGGGCTTCAGGGGCCGAGCACCAAGTTGCCAACGGCTTCCGTTTTTGGTTAAAGCCGTCTCCAGGCATCCTCTGACTTTGGCTAAAGCCGTCCTTCCAGAGGAATCAAAAGCAGTTGAGACAGAGCAGCCATAAAGCTGGCCGGCCAGACTTCCTCGGTGCATCCGTCGGAGGTCACTCGCCGGCTTGGTCGAAACGCGATCCGTTGGTTTTGGTGTTCAGTCGTTTGGTGTTCGCGTCAATTCAGCAGGTCTTGAAGCCACCGGCTTGGCAAAAAGCGTGGCCTTGGAGAGCTGGCGGTTTCAAAGGATGTTGCTTCACTAGGCTCTGGATTATGACCCTCACGACATGGACAGAGTGTTTCATTGAAGATACGTAACAAAAAAGCCTGTCCATCAACTTTCTGGGAACCCTCTTTTCACCCATGTAATGTATATTATCCCGATTTTGAGGGATTTTGGTAAGCTTGCTGGTCCAAGCAATAAAGCGACGACAGAGATCTGGTCATGGTAAGTCATGTGTCAGACTACACTCCCTGGAATCATCAATAGAAGTGAAGTTCACCACCTGTTCAGTATTCGGAGAAGGGTCTTCCAGACTCCACATCCATCATGCGTGTATCTTTGCACTCGTGAAGAAAAGGAGCTGCAGAGGCTATTCTTTTCGTCGATTCCTCACACCGATTGGAGGAACTCCGGCGAAGCCCTGGTGGCTCTGATCCTGTTGAACTCAAGACTGCAGTGGTCAACCGTCCATTCTTTGAGTATGACTATCAAATCATGCCTCCTCTCTCAAACTCTTGCAATTCAAAGAGGCGGTCATTATGGCACCTTGCATATTGAGAAGAGTTTCTAGATTATTGTGCCCCCAAATTCAACTGGGTACTCTGTATCAGAGACACGTGGCTTCATACGCCCGAAGGCCAAGAAGGTCCTTAAGACCGGCTTGAGATGTGTCTCTTTGAACCCTCCCCCAACATGAGCTAGGTGCGCATAGCATAGCGCGTTTGTATGCGTGGAAAGGCACGTCATCTTCCCAAATTCTGTGGGCTGCTACGTGACTACGTGAGTTTGGGAAGGGTGATGTTTTTGATTCAGATGCTGTCCATCGCTACCCGCCGCTGGTGTCTTTTGATCCTGCTCCGAACTGGCCGCCACTGGCTGCAGTTAGCACAACTGCGGATGGCTCCGACTTCTGAATTGTCACTAACCAAAGGGCAGGAAAATGAGATGATCGGCCAAGCGAGAACTACATCTGAAGCTACGAGGTGGTGAGATGAGGCAGTGACGCTGTTGATGGACTCAATCCTGTAAGGGTTTGGTTTGCCTATCCGGATAGGACCTCTATGGTTTGGTTCCAAGGGTCTTCCTGTTCAACAATATACATATCTGCAACTGGTTGTGATTGCGCACATGTTGAGGATTTGTAGCTTTCACAGGTATAGATGAATCTTTTTCTTTGAATTCAAGCTAACAGCGATGGCCTCCAACCTAGTAGCAATGGCCTCCAACCTAGTAGCCATGGCCGCCAACCTATTAGCGAACTTGGCATCGCACTTGAAGAAGGTTCTTCATTATTTTTTTGGGCCACATGTTGCTCACGGAGGTGTTCACCACAGACCTTGCAGTCTTCTACTTCTACTCGAAGTCAGAAGTGTTTCCCAAACCGAAACACCGCAGCCGAAACCTGTCACCGGAGCCATTCGCCTGTCACCGGTTCGAATGGCCAAAGCCATATCTTCGGACTGGGCCCCAACTTGGCACGAGTTCCAAGCGCAGTGGGTCGAACACGAGATGGAACAAGGACGCAGGGCCAGGGGAGCACCGGATTCGGGAGGATGTGAACGGAGCAACACGAAGCTACTAGGGGCACTCCTGGCATTACTAGTAACTAGTAGCAGAAGCTACTGGAGGCCATCGCTAGTAGGGAACAAGAAGCTACTAGAAAAGGTCCGGGGGTTTTGGACGAGAACGATCGACCTTCCGAGTCCGGGACCCTTCGATGCAGAGTCCTAAAGACGAAGCAAAGAACAGTGACGATCGACTCGTTTCGGCCTCGTTTCGAGCTTTGGACTCTTCGTTCCCTAGTAATAACAGGTGCCCTTACTAGTAGTAACAATGTTTGCTATTAGAAACAAGTGCCTTACTACTAGGAGCAAGAAGCTACTAGGGGCTTCTGGCCTTACTAGTAGTAACAAAAAGCTACTAGTACTAGTAGTCTCATAGGCCCGATGTCGACTCGATTGGAGACGAATAAATCCAGCTGCCGCCTCGGACGTCCCTCTTCCCTACTCAGGTCCCTTCAGTGGTCCTGCTTCCCTACTCAGGTCCTTGAACCATCATCTCCGCGCGGCCAGAAAACGAACACCTTCTCCTTCTGAAAAGAAACACACACACACACAAACTATATAAAAGCACTCTCTCCATCTCTGTCCTTATCTGTCTCCGACTCCACCGGGCTGCCCTCGCAGTGGAACGCCCCCGTGTGTTGGGAGCCGCTCCGGTCGGTCCCGAGCTGAGGCGAAGAGCACCTTGATGAATTTCCTCTTCGGCTGCGGCTTCGCCACCTCGGCAGGGCGCTGCACCCGAGGCGATTTCGCCGGTGAAACCACAAACCATACGGAAGGGACCGGGGGGCGTTGGCATGGCGTGGTGTGGAGACCTTGCCTTGACCGGGGCGCAGTCCTGGAAGCAAAGGAGTGTAGTTGAGCTGATTTCATTAGGTCCCCGTTCTGTTTTCTCAAGAGGTACGGAGGGATGAGGCCACTAGACCCTTTCATATCATATGGTTCTTTTTGGGCCCCCATGAGGTGATCTTAATGCGAAACAAGACTTCAACTGCTGCGACATGGAGCAACTGCCTGCTCTGATCCTTCTGTCCTTCTGATCCTAACCGATCGGGCACAGTGAACACGTCTACTCCCATGCAACCGACAAGGTACGCATTTAGTAAAACAAACAAGTCGCTATACAAACGATCAGTGACTAATTGCATATATATATATATACACACTCGCTTCTTAAGACAGCCAAGATCCATTTGCCAGAAAAGACCGTTTGTTTGTGTTCCCCAGACGTTACGTTAGTCTTTACCAGGGTCCTCTCCATTGAAGAGAATCTTGCACGGCACGCCTCAGGCCTTTACTGTTCATTGATGGAGTGCGAAGGAAGAACGCGCCTACCCCATCCGAAACCGTGAAGAACGCGCCGTGATGCGGTGTAGCATCGAAAGATGGTTTCAGGGTTTCGTTAATTTATGTTTAATTCTAATAGCTTTTTTGTTACTACTAGTAAGGCACTTGTTTCTAATGGCAAACATTGTTACTACTAGTAAGGCACCTGTTACTACTAGCGAGGCTACTTGTTTTGAGACTTCTTTTTTCAGATTCCCTAGAGTGGCACTCATCTTGGAAGCTATATAATTGCCGTGGCTGTCCCATGAAAGAGCTTAGCAGCATTATTTTGAGCTGTTGAGGTTTTCCAAGAAGGGGGTTTGATGATCCCAAGAAGCCATCTGACACCAATAAAAAGCAACCTGCATGTCTTACTTCGCATGTCCTGCTTTGCATGTCCAGCATCCAAACCTCGGGGTCAGCGGGTGAGCTTTTCATGTGGCGGAGCTGCGCTGAGGCTATTGATTCTGGACACTGAAGGCCTAATGAGTTTGGAGGCGTGTTGCCCGGCTCAGAGAAAACCTGTCATCCATGTCCCTACCTGTAGACCTAAGTGGGGAGTTCATCAAGTCATCATCATTGTGATTGTCTTGCCCTGCCTTGTTTAGCTCAAGTTGTGAACAAACCAAAAACCCACCAACCTCCCAACCCTTCGATTTGGCCAATCTTAAGACCTCCAAAAATACCGTCCATCTGGCACTGAAGAGGCTGCGTTTCTGCCGTTTCTCCAGGCGGAGGGGGGCGGCATTTTCGACGCTCAGCTGGCATTGATGGCCATGGCGTGCTCACACCTGGCCTGGCAACCCAGTGACGTTCAAGGAGCGAAGCCGTGGTGCTTTGAAAGTTCGGCTTTCAAGCAGACCTGGTTTTTCATGCTGCATGGCACTGCATGACCTCTTTTTTTTGGATCTTTTGCATTGGGGGATTGGGATGGTTGGAAGGAGATTTCCTGTGTGCCACGTTTTTTGGGGATATTACCTTTCATTGGGGTCCACTGTGGTGGCGGTGCTTGCAGGTTCTTTGCTGTTGCCAAAGGAGTGGGAATTGTGAAGGAATTGGTTTTGGAACGCCGGAGTGGAGTTCTCTTTTTCAGGACGTGTAAATGCTCTTTGGGGGAAAGCTTGCTTTTAGTATGTTTCAGTTGGTCCTTAAAGGCAGCTTTCCTCCGTTGGTTCCCTTGGGTCGTTGGTTCCGCGTTTGACAACGGCCCTCGGGTTTGCGGTCGCAGGTGATCATCAACCACAAAGGTGAGCTCTCACGACAACTTCAAGATCTGCTGGAGGCCTGGAATCGCTTGAGGTGGAGGTTTTTGGGAGGAGGGTATTTTAGAACGGTTCGGGAACAACGCTGTACATCAACATGCGTAACTAACAGTGCTCCGGTGGTTGGTCTTTTTGCAGGTCTTTCATGCTCCTGTTGTGGCCGTGGCTTCTAGAATTTGTCTTAGGAGATTCACTGAATTGCTTTGGTCTCTGTCCCCCCCAAATCCGGTTTCCCCGTCGGCACCAGGTGTGCCTCTTTGCGATGCAGCACCTCAAGGCGGAGTTCGGTCGGGTCGGGCAGTTCACGAGAAGCGACACGGAAACACGCCCGTTGGAAAATCAGATAATTATCATATCACCTCAACAGGTAGTGACTGAGCTGACCCAAAATCACTCCAAAGACGAGATTTTTCGTCCCACCAAGCATGCGGCATGTGTGTAGTGGAGAAGTTGCGACTTCCCTTGCCTCTAACAAGCCCGAAGGATGAACTCAACTTGTGATGGATGTGGGCAAATAGCGTAAGAGATGTAGTTCCAGAATGTTCCAGAGAGACCTTTACTGACATCCCAGATTCACGATTCCACAGGTAGTGGTAGTAGCTACATATACCTCCCTCAGTTCCAGAAAAAACTCTTGGAGCTCTGGTAGATCACTCTTTTCATTTTTAAAGAGAAGTGTCATTTGGAATCACGACCATGTGTCACATATATGTGCGGCTCTTAGCTCAGGCAATGCACCAGAAACCACGGGTGCTCTAGGGAAAATTGAAACTGACCATTTGGACAGCTTTTTTTGCGCCCACTTTTTCGGAGGATGTCAACTTCTTGGTCTTGCATGGTCTTGCGCATTTCAAGGTGTGCCGGATCCAGCCCAAGTTACTCTTCGTGCTCCGTGATCAGCATGACAGGCGCCCCTGGGATCACCGTGGGCGTCCCAACCGTTGATGCAACATCATGTAGACTCTTAATGAATAAAGCCCCCCATGTATAAAGAAGCTTTACAATAGGAGGGGAGGAGGTCATCAGGCGTCACCCAGAAAACGTACCTTCCTTTGAGCTGATTTCTACATTTCTATCGATTTCTATCCATTTTCGACTGTGTCAGGTCCCATTAGATCCCCAATGAAAGCCGTCTTAATCTTGACTGTTGATTCATCAAACACTTTGAAAAACACACATAAGCTGGAGATGTTGAGAGAATTCTGTTAGAAGGGGGAGGAAAAGACTGGGGGCTGTTTTGATATGTTTTGATACGTTTCTCTTCTCTTCTTTCGTCCGTTGCCATCCTCCCGTCCGCGCCTCCCACAGGTCCCAGGCGGTGCACGGCGACGCGCTGCGGCTCATGCGAAAGCATCTGGCGGAAGCCTCGTTGCAGCTCTCCCTGCGCCCGGGCGCCTGCTGAACGGTGAACGGTGTTCGAATTCGGCCGGTCTGGAGGTGTGGAGGTCAGAGCGGACTGTTTGGGCCAGTTGGATGAACGAAGAGACGCAGCCAGGCACCGACACTGAAGAGAGCTTTTGGAGGTTGCTCGAGCTTGTTCGAGGAGGTTCTGAAGGGATCAAGCTCGGTGGATTGAGGCAGAGTCATTGAGAAATCCAAGAAGTTGAAGCGAGGATGTATTCAATCAGGATGTACAACATTCCAACAGGTAAGGATCAAGGACTAGCAGCTTCCAACGAAAGCGCTCTCCAAGCAAAAGACTCCAAATCCGCCAGTCCGAGGTGAGTCATGCAGTGATGCAGTCTCCCTCTCTCGATGCGTTCGTTGTATCGTTTCTGTTGTGTCAAAGTGAGCTAATTCGGATGAATCTGATGTCACTCTCTTTTCCCGGACACCAGCCCCCGGACACATTCTAACATCGGACGCCATCCGGACGAATGTCCTTTCGTGCGCTCGGACGCGACGCCCGCGTCGTGCGTCGCGCGAGGCTTGGACGAGTTGATCTCATTGGATCCTGGAAGCCCGGTGTCCCACCGACACGACACGGACGTGCATCGTGGATGGTGACTGTGTGGTGCTGCATGTGCTAGCAGTGTGGACCGAGAAATGGCCCTTGTTGGTGTTTTGGGGTGTATTTCTTGTTCAGTAGACATTAAGGCCCGTGCTAGTCCCGTGCTAGACATGGGGCATCGAAGAGGTCAAGAAGTGGTTCTGGTTGACAGATGTTGGGAAATGGGCACGGGTTAGCTTTTGTATGCTTTTGTTATTGCCCGACAATGGAAGACCAATGCAAGACCCGTTGAGCCCCACGAACTTTGGCATTTTCTCTCATGGGTTTTGGGGCTGATATTTTGAAACGATTGAGACATGCCCTCATCACTCATATTTGTGATGGAGTGTTCGAGCGCAGTAGATGGGATACCTCCGATGAACTTGACAAACCTGCTCTTCCTGAGGTGTCTTCCTCTTGCCCTCCGCCTTTGCCAGTGATCTGGACCATACCGGCCGGGAGGCCGCTCGGATTGGGCAAGTGCGGCAAGTGGCAGACGGAGATCTCCACACCACACAACCTTGAACCTTGCTTCCAAGAGAGAACACTTCCGTGTCTACGACCTTTGGGAGTTGTCTTTCATACCGTTGTCCGGTTTGGGAGTTGTTGTGAAAAAGGACACCCGGAAAAACAGCACCTGCGATTGTAAAGTGTCCTTTCAATCAGACGAAGCACAAATCTCAGTGAGATGAGTCAGGTTCTTTTCTGTCCATTTGTGATCGTTAGTGGTTGCCTGGTATGGCTGAGTCTTTTTCCATCACACCGTTCTCACCTCTCAGTTCTCAAAACGCCGCCGCCAGGTGCGCTGGTCCACAGAGCTCTTTGCGCAGGAGGCGATGCAACTCCGGAAGAAGATCTTCAAGGAGGCACGAAGCGCTCATACCAAGTGATCTCTATATAGTAGGTTATATTAGAATGATGTCTTGAGAGACGGTTTGTCTGAGTCTTCATTTCCGCTGCCCTTCACATCTACACTCCACGGGATATCCCCGCTCCCAAGCGCTGCGTTGACGTGTGCCGTGCTTGGCGTTCTGGCTTGATTGCCCCGTGGGTTTCATTGGGAGTTAGGTGGCGCGTCAAAGGGTGTAGAATTGGGGGTTGAAATTTGGATCCTCAACCATGCAGTACAACTGCTTGGGGGGTGAAAAAAAAAACATGTATGATGCAAGAAAAGTTGACAAACACCTAGCAACAAGCATTTACACGTTTTGGATGAGGAAGAGATAGGGACCCTACCTTCCGGCTGGTACCTGGTACAGGATTTGTGCAAAACTCATCCGGAATTGTTGGAACCTTGAGATGAGATCTCTTTCTTGTAACCTGTGAAGGAATTGTCGGACATGTTTTCTTCACTGGATCCATTTAGGACACGTTCTATATCTTTTCTTCAACAAAATCATACAACACCTAAATGGATCCAGATAGAAGCCAACCATCAGTTTCATCAGACATAAACACCGCTTGAGGATTCCCTTCCAGATTGCCACTGGGATCCCAAGCCTACTGCACCGGATATTTTGGAATTGATACCTGTCACCCCCTTGGAGACATACCGCCACAGTTGTGGTTGGCTTCCTTGTGGCGCCTTGCGGAAAGCACGACGCCGTCGGCACTTGCAGGCGGATCAACTGCAGAGCTGCGAAGCAGCGCCGGAGTTCTCCACCCTGCCTGACTGGTGCCACATCAGTCGTGGAGCAGGGGAGGATGGAGGATTGTGGAATGATGTGACTGGAGGATTGTGGAGGGATGTGGGCTGGCTGAACAGTCCAACACTCAAAACCGCATGCAGGGACCATCAATTCCGATCTTATTTCTTGGCGAAACAAAATACCCTGCAGTGGAATACGGAGAATCTGCTGTGAAAGAACTGACATGATTGGAGCTCACACCCACACACGAGCGACGAGCGCGCGACACCGAGCGGGTGCGTTGACCTCGGTGTTCCGAGGTGCCTCCATGCGATGTCGGTCTGGCGTGTGCTGGACCGATATGGCCACCGACTCAGAACGAGGCACTCAGAACTCAGTTGAAGATCTTTAGATTCACCATGGATGGTATATCTCTATACTCTGGTATCTCTCTATACTCTTAACAACAAACCATATATAAATAGTCGTTCATGGGCATAAAACCTCCATTCCACGGTGCGGCTTGCAAGAACGCCGGGGTTGGAGAGGCAATGATAACTCGATCAAACCACCACCGGATGAAGCCACGTCGCCAGACGGTGGAAGATCCGAGGTCCCAATTTGCTGCACTACAAGACCATTCAGGAGATCGAGCTGCAACGAGAGCTCGAGGAGCGCACGATGTTGTCGTGACCGTGTGAGGGCGTGTGACGGTGTGATCGAGCGAAAGTTGCTGCGAACGTTTCAGAGAAGACCAGTCGACAGGGACATCAGACAGGTCCCAGTCGATGGGATTGATGGAGAGGGCATATGGCTATGCGCTTTCTTCGGCCAGTGTCATGCGTGTCAGACGAGTGCAATGCCTGAGACAGATCCAGCCGTTAGAGGAACTTGGTCGATGAAACATCACACTGCGACTATGACCCATAGCTGTAGCTATCATAGAATCAATCATTAGAGAGAAAACGACAAAAGAATGACAAACACGTTAGATTCAACAATGCATGGTGCTGAGGATGCTGCAAAGCAGATCTCTGCTTCACTGGTGCGGGGCAAAGGCGGCTTAGCTGAGGAATGCCAGGCCTGGATGCTTTTTGTGAAGCCATGGAGTTACCACCACGAACAGGACTTTAGGACGGTAATAGCAGTGTAATAGCTACATCACCAAGAACCTCTCAAGTCCAGAGATTCTCATTAAGCCTGATTGAAGAGATCCACTTGGAAGGACTCCATTGATGAAGTTTTGGGATATGCAACCTACATGAGATGCTGCCACTTAGCACTTTGCAGGCCTTGTTGGCCAGCTACAAGGAGCGGCTAAGCCAAGGAGAGAGCGGGGAGAAGGTGGACGCCGAATTCAGGCGTTGGCCTTTTCATCACTCGCACGACGATTGGCGTGTCACGCGTATTTCTTCGAGACGTGATCCGCTCTGTCCAGATGGGGTTTGGCCACCCTCGCTCTTTCAGCAGACCACAATCGGCCAGGTCCACTCTACAAGCCATGCTTGAGACCTGTGACAAGTGCGGCCGCCCAGGGAATTTCGCTCGGTTTCCTGCGGATTGACGACTTTTTTTTGCGCTGCCATGGACAGGTCATTCATTTTGGTCTCCCAGATCCAGATTTTTGGGGTCTTCCAGATCCAGTGATGCCAATCACTACACGATTGACAGCACAGCTAACTGCGCACATCAGCTGATGCACAATTTTGCCCAGAACACGAGGCTTCCACGACTTGAGTGGACAGCTGATTTATTTGTGCATGACAGCTGTTGACCTATCTTGTTGACTCGCTTTTTGGGATTTCAGCATCTACAGCCTACAGCCATAGTACTGCGGGTGTGCCAGGCAGCTTAGAGGGGTGAGAGTATGGGTGAGGCAGTTGAAGTTTGCTTTGAAGTCGCAGTTTCAGATGTTAAGCATCCTTTTCCTCCCAAGAGCCTATGGATTTTTTAGAACATTGGTCACATTGCTGCCTATGGTAGGTTCCACGGGATGGGTCGATATGTCGACCTCAGCACCTAAGCTTTTCCCTTCGTTGAGGAGCCTATTAAACATGGTGATTTTTCTATACATTTCTACGTGATCCTCCCCGTTTCTGTCTTTTTGTTGAAGATTTTCAGGAGGAAATTCGTCAACCGCCGTGCGCCTCGAAGAGGAAACACCTCGGACGCCAACATTCACGCTTTTGAGGCGTGCCAAAGCGGAGCTTGAGAGAGTGTTCAAGGCTGGACTTCTCGTTCCAAAGCTGTTCCAGAGGGTGTTCAAACGATTTTGCTTTGTTCGCGTGCTATTTTCCTGTTTGTGTTGTTTTCTCCAGACCTGGTACTTTGCTGGTTAATAGCCTAGAATACTTTAAAGTTGGAAATGGGATGAACATGGATGAAGAATGGTAAGTTTCTTGTAGTTTCTTGATGTGCAACATATTCTATCTACTCAGATAAGGCAGCAGTGCCGATTTAGGCCAACTTCATGGGAGAGGATGATCCATGAAACTGAGCTTCTCGCTCTGAACTGCAGGGTAGGTGAAACAAGGCTACAACCATGTGACTGTTCATGGACAAGGTCTGCTGCACCCCACAAAAGCCCACAATATCCCCGACTTGGAAGAGAGGTGACATGCATGCCACACTTTTTGCAAGGTCAAAGCACCCGAAAAAGGTGATGACTAAGATTTTTCCGGGCCTGGCACAAATTTGCTGTGAAGAGATATTTCAGGTGCTTTTGCTTAACATGTTTCAATAGCCATCAAAAGACCCTCTGGATCAAAGAAGAGACCTGGTGTACGAGTCGGCCGATGTAAAAGACATGACATGTAAAGCTTCAAATCGGACCTGCAGTGGTCTCAGAGTAGGCAGAATCCCTAATAGTTTGGTGAGAAAAACCGTTTGCAATGGACTGACTGCACCGACATCTAGGGACACGGTGACCGACCTCCGTGTCGTTCCCGAAACCGGTGTCGTTTCTCCAGGCCCGAAGATCCAAGCTTCCAGATGCGCAGAAGGACCGGCCGAAGTCGGCCTTTCGGCGCGGTCTACGGGGAAGACGGGAGGATTTTGCCAGGCTTTCAAGTTGTGTAGCGTTCTTGCTCCTAGTAGCGTCCGATCGCTCCTATTGGGAGGATTGGCCAGGCTTTCAAGTGGTATGCATCGGTTCCACTCTGACCAACAGAACGACAATGGAAGAGTCAACCTGAGAGCTCAGGGCTGAAGGATGCTGAACGAGCTCAGGGCTGTAAACTTCACCGAATGATCCTTTCGTGACCACGCAGCAAGTTTGCCTGTTAGCCTTTGATGCTTTCCATTCGACCCATTTGCGGACGAACCCGCACTAGTGTTCCTGACTTCTTGATGCATCTTGATGTCTTAATTTCTAGGGTTACCCTGTCCGTGTTCAATTTTCCAAGACTTTCCAAGGGTAGGGTAGCGACGGGTGTCTTCCATCATGCTTGGAGGAGGATGCATGGAACATGGACCTTGCAGGTTGGGACAGTTGCTCTCGGTTCTTGGCTCTCAGCAGGAGGAGGCGAAGAAGAAGCTCGCCACACCCATTGAGTACCAGGCCAAGACTTCGTTCCACGCTCGCGTGTGCGCGCAGCACCTGGGCACCGCACCGCCAGGGAGAGCTCACCCGCTACACCTGGTCCTTGTGCTTAGCTGATGCCGTGGATCGGGACCAACTCCGAGCGCTCAAGGTGGGAAGACGAAGAGATCAGTCCTAGGAAAAAGCCGTGAAAAGCGTGAAACGCATGGACAATAGCACTTATAAGGTTAGATCATAAGTCTTGTTAGCTGTAAAACCGTAAAATGAAGACCTGAGACCACCTGGCGGACCTTTTTTGTTGGAGAGGACCAAAAGGCAGCAATTGAGGTGGACTTCTGTATGTTGACCGCAATGGAGAGGAAGATTTCATCATATTGCACCTCTGACTCAGTCATCCTTGAACAGTTGCAGATTTCCCTACCCAGTACTGCCTTACTGGATCTTACTAGGCACTACTGGGCCAGTGATGTTCAAGCATCATGACCTACAGGCTCGGCCAAGCGGCCCCAAGCGGGCTGGCCTGGATGTGCTTCTTCTGCTGCGCAGGTCCACTTCAAAAAGACCATCGAAGAGCTTTGGCAGGCGCCACAAACTTGTGCTGACGCGGTCGTGTCGTGGCTTTTGGCGGACAGGTGCTGTTGGTCGTGTTCGTGGGGTTCAGATGTTCTGTGTTGAAGAAAAGAACTTGGACGACGAGACTCAGAGGTTCAGTATGAGACTCAACAGATTCCAGCTTCCAGTCGCCTGGTGAGCTGTGACAGTTCAGCTTCTGCCAGGTGGAATCCTCTCAAAGCCTCGCAGTCGCTCGGCCGCCAGCGCTCCGCTCGCGCGCTGTGGACGCCACGCGGAAGGGGTTCGAAGGGCAGCAGTTCTGGCCGTGCGCGGGGCTTTGAATGGAAAGTCGGCAAGGTTCAGCGACGGGAGCCCTTCTGGAGAATTTCTCCATGGTGAAGTGCAGTTCTTTTTTTGGGGGGGTGGGGAAGTGCTTGGTTTTCTCTTTGGGTGTGTGAGTGTGTGGTTTCTGCCAGGTCCAAGATAAACATGACCGTGGACAACATGTGGTTCCAAGAATGGTTGATTTACAGCCCTTCCATTCCTTGAATTCTCACCTCCCCCTTTCCATTCACGGAAAAAAGCGCGAAAAGATCAACTTCTCGCATTCTTCCTCCTCCTCCTCCTCCCGGCCATTTCGCTTTGTTTCTCGCTATTAGACCCGATGCTGGTCCCACCCAAAACGGCACCGAAAAGAAACACCTCTCAGGAGCAGCAGGCTCGAGAGCTCTTCACTCAAGAGTGGGAGTCCTTTGAAGAAGAATGTCGAGGAGTCAGAGCGAGAGTCGGCGTGAAACTCCCCGCGCGCTGGGGGGACACCCGCAGATCGGGTCGACCCAAGGTCGACTCAGGTCGACGCTTTTCAGTTGCTGCTTGGAGGTCGAATCGGCCAGTCTGCGCCCCAGACACACCTTCGGTTGCACACCTTCTGATCATAAATTCCAGCTCCAACCGTGTTCACCTGCACCCCATTTGGGCTGAACATTGATCGGCGATCTACGGAATCGCAAGTCTCCGCGCCCAGCACGGCCTGGCTATGGCTGGCTGCCAGGACGCTTTGCGCGGACCAGCAAGTCACAGAAGCAGTTGGCCGAAGAGGTGGGTCATGGTGGGTCAACAGTTTGGCGTTTTGCTCGAAAAGTGAGATCTGACGCCAGATCGACATGTTTGTGAAAGGATGACGTGAGAGAGAAACATTCTGGTCTGAAGAACCACCAGACTCCAGACCAAACAAATACCCAGCAGGCTGTTGCAAACCAATTTCCCTCACAAACATCCTAGGTTAGAGAACTTCGAAAACCCCTTCGGAGCTAGATCAAAATGAGTGAACGTGTATACTATATACACTGAGATAATCATGGGAGTCGCAAAACCACCTGTCCGTAGAGGAAAAATGGTCATCCAACGGACCATTTTCCAGCATCCATGATTGTTTCAGGGAGTGTAAGTAGACTCGCCAAATCCTAGTGGCAAGCACAACATAGACAAAACTGACCGTGAATATCTGTGAATCATACTCGTACCTGCTCATCTCAGCTGCTTCTCGAGAGACGGAGGTCTGCATGGTCTTCAACCACGTCTTGCGGCAGCATCGACATGGAGATGAAGCCTTGCATGTCCTGGAGCTGGTGCGCTTGCCCAGGACCATGCGGGTTTGACTTGTTTGGGGTCTTCCACCATCCATCCGAGCAAAATACCCCGCCTTTGGTGGCTATTTCCACCCGCTTTCCGAGGCAAAACTGGACGCCCACATTCCACAGTTCCAAACACATCCTCGATCGGCAAAGCACGCCAGTTCCTACCCGGTTTCCAGCTGCCCACCAGTGCTGTTAAGCAGATGAAATCTCAGGTGCCAAGTACCGGGCTGCTCGGAAGTGAAACCTTCGTGTGGGAGAAGACCATGAACTTCTTGGAGCTTCGCTCGTCGAGCAGGCGCCAGCGGGCACCAGCGGCTGGTGCTGCGGGGATTCGTTGTCAGCGGCCGCTTGCTTCAGATGTGTTTGCTTCGGCGTGTGTTGCGTGTGTTTTTGTGTGAGCTGGGTGAGGCTTCAAGAGTTTGTGGCTGCTCACCGAACAGAGAAGGGACACGCACCACGGCTTGGGGGCTCAGCCTGAAGAGTGAGGCAAGTGAGGTGGATGCAGTTCTTTCTCAGGGCATCACTGCAGTGTTCTCGTGTTCTTTCAGCACGCTGCGCACGCTGAGGACGGCCAATGAGACCGAGATGATACGGAACCATGTTGCCCGAAGTCCCGGACTGCCCACCTGTTGAAACTCACTGGGCCGTTGCCGTGGGAGTCGGATGAAACGTGGTTTGCAACGTCAGGAACAAAGGAACAATGGGTTTGGGTTCAAAGCACTTGGACAACAGCCACCTTTTGATAAGCGTAACAACCGATTTTATGCAAGATGCGGTGCGAAGAAGGTTGTCCTCAGGACACCAAGTTGCCCTTACCAGAAGCAAGCGCCACATGTTACTTTTTATTGAGTGGGCAATGCTTGAGGTGCCAGAGCTACGCCGGCGCATTTCCCCGATGATGACCATGGAGGCAGCTGATGGGGCAGAAGGGTCGCCAGAGTACAAAGGGCCGTAGCTAGTGATCGTTCTCCGCTCTGACCTTATTTGGTCCTGCTTTGCTGCGCTTTGCAAGGTGGAGGGGGAGATGCCCTCAGAAGAGAAGATTTTAGACGCCATGCAACGCCTCAACAGCGCTTTGCAGGTGGGGTGACTGTCACTGTCCGGTGTCATGGCAGTGGCGGTGTCATTCATTGTTTTGCTGGGATGGTTGTTGATATGCCCACTCGCTTTGGAGTTTGGCATGTTTTTGCTGTGTGTTTGACCTGTTTTTTGCTTGTAAGTTCTAGTTTGGTTGGCCTGCGAGGTGCTTTTAGGTTAGAACAACTCACCAAGCCTGCCATATTCAGACCTACGCACAGGACAACTGTTTGTGTATCTTCACTTTCTTCACTTGAAGAATCCAACTGGAAAATCTTCGACCTGGGTCGGGCACCGCCATCGCCAGGTCGAGGAGAATCGTTTCCTTAACCAGCAGGGAAACTCATGTGGTCGGGCACCACCTTTTCCTGTGGAGTGCGAGGTCTTGCGAGGTCTACGAGATGTTGAAGATGTGGGTCATTGTGGGTCTCATTAAAAAAAGAACAGCACATGTGAAGTGGAGGGAATTATATAGTTGGATGAGAGTTCTATTTTTGTTCGTTTTCTATTTGTGTTAATCTGCACCCCCATCTTCAGTCACCAATTTGGGTGGATTCGCCACTATTCTTAGTTGCTTTCAAACAGCATGCCGCAGCATACTGGCTGGTACCTCCTTCCTGCGCGATCCCCTTTGGCTCAAGTGACCGGGCAGGAAGAGCCGTCGCGTCCCGCGAACGGGGTTCCCGAGGGGCGCACGGGAAGGAAGCGCGTGGAGAGCCAAGGCCAGAGGGGTACAGCCTGTGGGTGTGTGGGGCTAGTCATGCCAGTTGGTTCGGAACTGGATGTGTCCCGGGGCCCTCGAAGTAGATGCAAGAACAGGGTTGTTCTGACTATGGGTGTTCGGAGGGGACGAGCCTGGCTGACGGGGCCTGATTGCGGACTTCTTCCCCTTGGGAAGACCGGGAAGAGCAAAGGAGCAAATCCCAGCGTGTCTCGGTGCTAGTGACTGCTAGTGCTTCTTTCTGGGGTGAGTTGAGGTAGTGTTGGAGTGTTGGTTATTGTTGCTCCTGCTGTTGTTCTTACCCTCCCACTCCATTTTTGTAGGATGAGTAAGTACTTTCGTGTCATCCGCAAGCTCCGGGCCCCTCACAAGTCGCAGAGTCATAGCTGAACCGTGAGGGAGGGTACCCTCAAGGAGTGATTCCACATGGCGCAAGAGAGCCTTGGGAAGGATGGTAATTGCCGGGTGTAGGAGCCAACTTGGATGACAAAGCTCTACCAGGACCCTCCAGGTCTCCTCTGGTGGCTTTTGCAGACTTAAAAGCCGTAGATGGTGACCTGTTGGAGGGTGCTGGTAGAAAGGGCGTTGTTTGGTTGTTTGGTCTTGGAAAGTACACTGGCTCCCTACAGATCCCCCCCGCAAGTCTCGAATTTTCACCAAAGCTTGGGGTCCTACTTCAGCCCAGATTTCTCTGGTGCAGCAAGTTGGTTCCCATCCGCAAGAGGAAGCACTGAACCACTGGGGGAAGACTCTTGGATCCACGCTCAGGACGATGAACAACGACGATGAAGAGTCTCTTGGTGTTTTTCACCGCGGAACTCGTTGTTCTTGTTTTTTCTTCCCCAAAGAGTGTGGACACTAGGGGTTGTTACGGTAGTAGTTAAGCACCGGTGTTTAATTCGATTTGTTGCGCGGGCGTGTGCGGCTAGTCTGTAAACTGCAGCATTTGGTTTTCACGTGAGAGGTGAGATATGGTGAGGTGGATCACAGGAGTGTTTAAATGAGAAGACTGATGAAAGGGTCATAGGTAGTCACAGCTTGATTAGTGATTAGTGACATACATCTGCATTGATGTGAAGCTTGAACATCCATGGGAGAAGGTCGGAGGTACACTTGAGATCCTTTCTCTTAGGAACTGAGAGGAGTTCATAACGGTTCAATCCGCGGTGGGCACAATCCGAGTCTCACCGATCCGCGCTGCGCCGATCGCCAATGAGCTCAGTGCTCACATGGTTTGGGCTTACAGTAACTCGAGCTCATTTGAGTTTCTTTTCAGATCCGCTTCATCCCAGCTCCAAGGGGATCAAAGTTTTGGAAGCACCCCACACAGCACGGTCTGGACCAGTGTGCCATGCACTCAGCACTCGAACCGACCGCAGACCGCAGGGCTTCGGCCACAGTCGAAGGACTCCCAACTCGACTCCAGAGACCTTTCTGTTCACTCAGGCTCGCGGCGTACCAGGCCTCCATCAGTGCGCAGAATGAGCCTCAGGCGGCCAATACGAACGTGGTGAAGCAGGGTGAAGCAGGGTGAACCTATGGAGCTTACTGGTTCCTTCAATTAATGGAGATTGTTGTGGTTTTGTGGGCGCCCAATCAGAGGTGATTAAGGTGATTTAAAAGGACAAATAAAGATCCATAGCAGTGGTTGCGTTAGGTGTTTATGTTTGAGTCAAACTCCATAGCAAGGTGGCTTTCACGTTTTTCCTGACCAAGCATACTTGCATTGTCTTCAAAGCATACAGATTGCAATTCCTGTTCTCAAGTATCACTGCTGGCATACGGTCCATCTTAGCTGCTTACAGCATTTCTTCCTTCAGTACGCAGTTTTTTCCTGAAATCCCAGTGACAGTTTGAGGACATCCCTCAGCTTCAGAAAGGGATTCCCAAGGCAAACAATAGAACCGTTCTCGGATCACAGACTGACCCCTCTCTTCAAGCAAAGCTAGACTTTCTACTACGTTTTGTACTTCCCATCCCTCACGGCCCCCATTCTCCACCGCGGTTCGCACCCGTTCTCCACCGCAACCGCGGCCGCGCGCGGAACCAGACGCAAGAGCAGAAGAGCGGAGCCTTCGAACGGATGAAGGGCGATGATCCGAACTGGTGCGGGATCTCAGGATCGGATGATCGCGATGGACAGATGGCCTGGTCAATTCCGTGATGTGGGTGAGTGCGTAATGCGAGTGTGAAGAGCGAGCTTGGGAGGCTGTGGAACCTTGTCGAACTTTGTTGCTGAACAGTTTACTGTGTTCTTGGGCTCTTGGGTCAAGCTCACAGAGACTCAAATTGTATTTGTCCTACGGAGCAGCGATGAATCCAGTGACAAAAGAAGAAGCAACAGACAGTTGTCGTCCTTGGATGCTGTCCCCATGTTTTTCGCTTTGAAGTGAACACCTGCAGTTCCTCACCACTGATTCCTCAACCACGACCCACTGATTCTCGTTTTCTTTGTCTAAATTCTCCCGCACCTTCACACATCTTCTCGCATTCCACGTTCATTCGCACCCGGTCCCCTCCACGTGCATTCGCATTCCACGTCGCGAGACGCAGCGTCTGCGCCGTGTGTAGCCGCCGCGCGAAGCGTCGCTCGCTCTTCGCTGTGAGGAAGGTCAAGACCAGCGAGGGACAGGCCACGCTGGCAGACATCAAGAAGCGCCGTAGAGATGAACTTGAGGAAGCTCAAGAAGAAGGTGTGAGCAGGACTCCGACGGATGTTCGGAAGAGGTTTTCTATCGCTTATGTTTTTTTCTAAACATTTTTTGTCTATCGCGGAGGAGGTTTGTTTTGGGTTTTGAAGGTGGTTTTGACCTCCAGCACGATGGTCGATGGGCCATTGGATTGAGGGATAGATTGAAGATCTGCCCAAAAGCGGTTGCAATGACTTGGTGTTTTCACCAGAAGTTTCCCGCTTACAACTGACCGACGAATCCATGTCGCTCTGACGTCTGCGCTTCAGCAGCTGTGGTCCAGCGGCTTTGGTGACCCCTTGAATGAGGTTCCACCCTCCTGCACACGATCCCGATTCTGAGACTTTACCCTGCGGTTGGAAGACATCTTTTCCCTTTTGGAGTCGATGTGGTCCCGGTCTTTGCATGTCTTTGTGACCAAAGCTGCACGGTTCACTCTAGGCGCGCGGTGCCATGACTCCCATCGTGGATGGTCCAGGTCCTCGAATGTCCCGAAATTCGGGTGGAGGGTCGGTAGAGAACGTCTTCACCTAAAAAGGGGATTCCAAGAAAGGTGCTCCAGGCTCCTCACCCACACATGATCACAGATGCTTTTGTGTGTGTCTTTTTTGTTTTTTCTTTTTTTAAGGACGACATTCACCCTGATTTGCCCTTCTATGTGGAGACTTCATTCGACCATCGGTTTGGTATCGTTTTTGGGTGGTAGGGTTCCAAAATAGAGGTTCAACAGTTCAATGGGTGATAGTCAAGTCTCCTCGCCCTTTGCCTCAGACTGCGTGCAAAGGTGCGCGACGCGTGCGCGCGCGACAGGAAGTTCAAGATTCAGAACTTCACCAGCGAGGACAGTGCTGCCGGGAGACCCTGTGAGGACACGTTGCTACGATCCGAATTCGAGCTTCCGGCTCGGGGCTTTCAGGTCCTCCGGCTCAGACACCCCATCACGTCCAAAAATCGAAGAAATGCCAAACCTTGGCATGTTGCCTTCTTTCCACGGTCGCGCACGGTAGCGTGGACTGAAGATGTCCACGTACTTCGGATGTTTGCAGATGGATTCGACTGTTCCGTCCGCGCCGGTCACGCGACCAGTGCAAGCACGCGACCAGCGCCAGATCCAAAACGGTGACGCCAAACAGGGGTAGATGATGTGGGAGGATTGCTACTAGTCAGCCGTTGGTGACTTGTTGTACTTCACCCAGGTGGAGAACTGTACTCCAAAGTGGGGTGTTCTATGCCAAAAATCGTTACCTACGGGTCACCGGAGCACCAATTGGTAGCATCGAAGCAATATGTTTGATCGATCCTTTTTCTCAGGACAGTTGACGCCCAGTGGGTTCCCACTTTGGGCCATTTGCAGATGGCTTTCTGAGGTGGTTGGTGAGAAGACCATCATCTCCCACTACTGCTCCATTTGTGCCTCACCTTCGATGTCGTAGATCTTGGCGCCGGAATGAGTGATAAACCTGAATGAGTGGCACCCCCGTTCCCGAGCTCTCCCAGAAATGTTGAAGTGATGATTTTCTTGTCATGCTCCCTAGTTTGAGATGTTCTTCACAGACTTGTCTTGGGTGCAAGTCGAGAAGTGGCCGGTTTAGATGAGCAGCCCAAGACTTGGTGGCGCCACTTGTAGCTTGTAAAATTAGGACAAGCAGGGTCACATCCACAAAGGCAGCCTTGACACGGCCATGTCAAAAATCCTTGGACCTCCCAATGAAGCAGGAAAATAAAGTCAACAGCTTGTGGCCTTGGGTTTCCCAGTGAGAAGACCTTCTTGCTGCTGTGGAGTTCCCCTTGTGATGCTGAGGTGGCGAGCACTGCGTGGCCGCTGATTCGAAAATCATGAAGCTGCCAAGAAGAAGAACTGTCACTTGGGCATGGCAAGTCTCATCCTTCTTCCAGCTTTCGGTGGATGATGGACCTCATGA